CATCACCATCACCATCACCATCACCATCATCATCATCATCATAATAATAATAATAATACAGGGGGCTTATTAAGGAGCACATTCAAGGCACTAAGCAGGGAAATTTCTTCTAACAAATCAGGGTATCATTGTGTGACAAAGACCTACCTACAACAACTGTGAGAAGCCCACAAACTTCCGTGGATTGATTCGTGTGGTTGGCAAGATGGGAAACACCCTCTTTGATCTACCTAAGTATTCCGTGCAGTAACTAAATATTCAAGTGCTGAGAGCCGGGTATTCTCAGGCGGGGATTTAAGCTTTCCCTTCCTGCCAGAGCTGATTTCCCTTCACTTGCATTATGCCTGGGATGGGGGAGAGTTGCTTTTAATTATTGAAGCACAATCTTATCTAATGCCTCCCTGATGGCGGCTTCCCTTCCACGTTGTTCTCTCCTGCCGTGCTCTTTAAATGGTTGGCTAGTGGCTACAGATAATTCCTGCTCAAGATAATTTCGCCTTTTTCTTCTTTCCCCTTTTTTATCCCCTCTTGAGTTGCAGCTTAAGAATTTAATTGTATCTGGGTTGAGGAATGACCGATTACAATAGCTCAAGCTAGCCTTCCAGGCAGGGGTCGTTTCATAGAAAAAGAGGTGCAGGAGCTCATTAGCATAATTTATTAGCATAACTTATTTGTATAGGCCACACCCCCTGACATCACCGGAAGTGTGTCAGAAGGCAACACCCACCACTCAGGCTCCACTGGACTGTTTTGGATTGATAGCTGTTGGGGGGCGGGGACACGTGCAGATCTGTCCTCGCAGAGGAGGGAGAGCTTGTACCTGAATAAAACGTGATCTTAAAAGGGGCCAGTGGACTGTTTTGGATTGCTAGCTATGGGGGGGGGATGTGCAGATCTGCCCTCACAGAGAAGGGAGAGCTTGTACCTGAAGGCGGGTGGGGGGGGGGGGGGCTGTAACTTTGCAACTTACCGGGCTGCTTCTTGCTCCTCGTGGCCCGACTGAGGGCTGCTGGGAGCAGGGGGTGGGGCTTGTTGCATGTGCCCACCCCCTGGGCTCCTTACTGCCGGAGCTCCGCTCCTGTGCGCTCCCGCAGGAAATGACCCCTGCTTCCAGGATCTGTAAAGGGCATCTCCCCCTCCCAAGTACTCACTGTCCACACTTGCTTATCTATATTCATCCTAAAAGGGGGGTATATTCCACTCATCCTTCACCCTTATGCTTGGTAGATCTTGAAGTCCTCCTCTGCCTTCAGTTGAGGTGTCCCTAAACATTTCCACTTCTTCTCCATTCAATAGCTTAGTGCCTTAGACCTACTTAAGTGCGGCATACTGTCAGTCTGCTCTCCTCCCTTTGCCCCCCCCCTCCCCGCTCATGCCACCCACTTCGTTAGACGTCCTGTGGCCAATATCCTTTCCAACATGCATTTCCAGGTGGGCTTGCCACAGGTAATATGTGTGAGAGGTGCGCACATGCATTGCTCTTCACAAGGGGCTTCAGGTTTACTTGATTCTGCCTATGGGTAAGGCTTCTGGGGTGAGATGGGGGGAACCAGGGTCACCATGGGACCTCAGAAAGCCAGGCAGGACGCTTTTGGTTTGCAGCTTTTTCATCTCAACAGAAGACAGAAGAATGTGGCTGTGCATATCATGGTCTCCCGGCCTAACCTACCTTCAGCATTTCTGTGAAAGTAAAACAGGAGGAAAGGTGTGTGTGGGGGGGGTATTGAGAAATGGGGAGAGGGCAGTGGGGTACAGTGTGCAAAGAGACCGCTCAGTAGCTCTTTTACGTTAACAAAACCGTACAGTTTCTGTTTGTATGAAGTCTGGATCGAGTGTGTGGGACCAGAGAGGATTGGGCATGTGGACCAGAGAGGATTGGACATGCTTTTTCAAGTGCTGAAGCCATCATGGGGGGTTTGTTTCTGCATTAAAAAGTCACAGGGGGGAGACCACACCTCCTGGGGCTGCCATGTGCCCAGTTTGCATTGGGGCCTCATGGCAATTTGTAAAGAACTACAGATGTTTTTAAAATGGCCGTCGACAGCCGCAGGATAGACCCGTGCCCACTGTCGCTTGTAATTGGGCATTCAGTAGAAGCAGCTTTGCCCTGCGTGACACATGGGTTCCAAACAATGCTGGCATTCAGAAACACGAAATCATGGTGTGGTGGTGGTTGTAGTTTAACGGGCCCGGCCAGTAGGGGCTTATGTTATGTTGGCTTCTGGCTTCTGTGGCTAATTCAGAAAACTTAGTGACATATTCCCTGTAATAGGAGAGAGGATGCTCTTTAAACACATCATACAGATGTTATACAGGAGAGCCAGTTTGATGTAGTGGTTATGAGCATGGACTCTAATCTGGGAGAACTGGGTTTGAGTCCTCACTCCTCCACATGCACCTGCTGGCATGACCTTGGGTCAGTCATAAGTTCTTTCGGAGCTGTTTTCTCAAGGGCAATTCTCAAGAGAGCTCTCTCAGCCCCACCTACCTCACAGGGTGTCTGTTGTGGGGAGGGGAAGGGAAAGGCGATTGTAAGCCACTCTGAGACTCCTTTGGGTAGTGAAAGGTGGGGTATAAATCCAATCTCCTCCTCCTCTTCGTCTTCTTCCTCTTCCTCCTCCTCCTCTTCCTCTTCAGAGAGCCAATTTGGTGTAGCGGTTAAGTGTGTGGACTCTAATCTGGGAGAACCGGGTTTGATTCCCCACTCCTCCACTTGCACCTGGCTGGATGACCTTGGGCAAGCCGTAGTTCTGGCACAGCAGTTCTTGAAAGAGTAGTTTATGTCAGAGTTCTCTCACCCCCACCCACCTCACAGGGTGTCTGTTGTGGGGAGGGGAAGGGAAAGGAGTTTGTAAGCCGCTCTGAGACTCCCAAGTGAAGGGCGGGGTATAAATCCAATCTCCTCTTCTTTTCTTCTCTTCTTCTTCCTCTTCTTCTTCTTCATTAGAACTCCTAGATGTTGATGTTTATAGAACGGATGATGAGCTTGTAAAGCTTAGTATCCAACATTCTTGTTACTGACTAAAATTTTTATTTTTAACAAATATACTAACTAGGAGAGTAGGGTGTCCTCATTTAGTCTCCTGGGGTCTCTGGCTATGGATGGCATGCATGTGGCAGGCTATAGGAAAAGGTCTCTTCTTCCAAAACAAAATGGGGGAGGTCAGAGTGTTTCTGTCCTCCAAACCAGTGGGAGCTGATAGCTCTGCTTACAGGCAGCCGTGGGATATGGGCAGCAATAGCAGCACATCAGCTAGCCACAGGACGAAGACTCGGGTTTAAAAGGGAAGCAAGCAGCCAGATAGGGAGGGTGGACTCCCCACCATTGTTGAAAATGGTTTTGGTTTTTTGGTGGCCTTTACACTAAGTTCCTGCCTCTCCAGGACTGAGCTTAACTGTAAATTGTGCAGGGAACCGTCCCTTTGCAGGGTGACAAAAGGCATCGGAGTGTGACTGCGTTCTAACTCCAGTCTCTCCCCTTTCACACTGTTAGGCTCGCTTGCCTAGCTGTTAGTGCAAAGAACTGCATTCTGCAAACTGAATGTACAAAGCTGGGGTGGGGGTGGGGGGATGGACAATGGACATAATATAGCTTGCTCCTTCTGGCTGAGGAAGCCTGACACTCTTCTTGCCTAGGAAACCTGACACTCTTCTTGCCTGATCTCTTTTGGAAACCGCTGGCCCTGGGATCCGTAAGCAGAGACTCGATGTAGCACTCTCTCCCTTTTGTTCTTATTCCCCACAGAGAAGAGGTTCAGGAAAATTGTGTACGCTGGAAGAAGAAATTCACCTTTGTCTGCAAAATGAGTGCGAATCCCGCCACTGGCCTCCTGGATCCCTGCATCTGCCGTGTGTCAGTCCGCAAGGTGAGCGTTCTGTGTCTGCTCCATGCTTTGATATGGCTCCTGTTTATAGAAACATAATGGTGCCAATGAGGGTATGATCACACTGGCGGCTTGGCGCAATATTGCACCTCCTCTTATTGTAACACGTTGCGGCGCTGGCCCTGGGATCCGTAAGCAGAGGCTTGATGTAGCACTCTCTCCCTTTTGTTCTTATTCCCCACAGAGAAGAGGTTCAGGAAAATTGTGTACGCTGGAAGAAGAAATTCACCTTTGTCTGCAAAATGAGTGCGAATCCTGCCACTGGCCTCCTGGATCCCTGCATCTGCCGTGTGTCAGTCCGCAAGGTGAGCGTTCTGTGTCTGCTCCATGCTTTGATATGGCTCCTGTTTATAGAAACATAACGGTGCCAATGAGTGTTCTGTGTCTGCTCCATGCTTTGATATAGCTCCTGTTTATAGAAACATAACGGAGCCAATGAGGGTATGATCACACTGGCGGCTTGGCGCAATATGGCACCTCCTCTAATTGTACCATGTTGCGGGGCATATCGTCCAGACAGCACACCCTGATGCAGGTTACCCACGCAGCCGTCCCCTGGTCAAGCATCCACATTACTGCAGCATCTCAGCCATGGAGCGGGCTGCCTGGTCAGTTTTTAAAACACAGGTGGGTGCATATGCGCGCACATATGCGCACATGCATGCACATATGAGCACGTGTGCACGTGTGCTTGTGCTCATATAGGCAACAACTCCAAAAAAATGCACCCCAGTGGCAGAAGCGTATCTTTAGGTTTAGACGCCAGTCCATTTTGTGTGCACCCCACCGCGTTCAGACATCTGGCCACGTACGCGTGGGGAACCAAAAACACCACTTGTGACAGGGTGCCTTTTTCACCTGGCTTTAGGTCATCCTACGATGAGGTGAGTATGCCTAGGGAATGTCTGACATATGTGGCTGTGTGACTGCGCCCATTTAATCCAGAGGGGAGGTGTGGCTATGTCGGGCTAAACTGCTTGTGTGGTCACACCCTACGATTACCCTTTAGATAGGGATGCACAGGCCTTGACCTGGATAGCCCAGGCTAGCCCGATCTCAGCAGATCTCGGAAGCTAAGTAGGACCAGCCCTGGCTAGTATTTGTGTGGGAGACCTCCAAGGAATGCCAGAGTTGTGACACAGAGGCAGGCAGTGGCGAACCACCTGTGAACATCTCTTGCCTTGAAAGCCCTACAGGATTACCATAAGTCAGCTGTGACTGGATGGCGCTTTCCACCCCCACCAGGGACACAAAGAGCCAAGCTGACTCGCATTTAGAGTTGCTCTTCTGGTTACTATGCAGGATCCCCTAAACTGCCTTCTTGACGTTAGTTCTGATTGGACTGCACTTCCTCATCCACCAAGCCCTGGCCAGCCCTCTTCCTAAACTGTAGAGAGCTCAGTACTTATTCCGATTACATCCTTCCCAGATCTACACTTTCTTCCAAGAGGTCCCAGGTTGGATACATTGCTTCTCCTCTCTGTGACCCCAGTTTGGTGTAGTGGTTAAGTGCACGGACTCTAATCTGGGAGAACTGGGTTTGATTCCCCCACTCCTCCACTTGCACCTGGCTGGATGACCTTGGGCAAGCTGTAGTTCTGGTAAGAGCTGTTCTTGAAAAAGAGCCATTTCTGTCAAGAGCTCTCTCAGCCCCACCTACCTCACAGGGTGTCTGTTGTGGGGAGGGGAAGGGAAAGGAGTTTGTAAGCCGCTCTGAGACACCTTTGGGTAGTGAAGGACGGGGAATAAATCGAATCTCCTCCTCCTCCTCGCCTTCTCTTCTCACAACCATGGTGCAGTTCAACCATTTCAGCCTTCAGATGGCAAGATGTACTTCAAATGCAAAACTACGTCTTCATTTAGCTCATGCGCTGGGTGGAGTCTAGCCCCGACGTGCGGCACCCCTGACAGTTTTGTCACCCTGAGAGAGCCAAGTGTAACAGGCGCAGGGTCATCCAATGAGCTTCTTGGCTAAGTAGAAATTTGACCCTGGGTCTAGTAGGTCCTAGGCTGACGATAACCACTACTCTGTGGCTTTGTAAGCTGCCTTCTGTGCCCCTTCCCATTACACACCAGGCTCAAAATCGCTATCTTTGATTAGCAGAGCTGTCTGGCAAAGTGCACTCTAAATGGTTGCGATGCTGGGGGAGGGAGGATGCAGGGAATGCATATATAGAGAGATCTTTGCAGTTGATAGTGTGTGTTCAGGCAGCTAAAGCAGTCATAAATGATTAGCGTAGTAACCGTGACTGGCCCGGGGCACCTGCACTTCATTTCTCCCCCTCCTCCAGAGGAATTAAGAAGCCCAGTGAAGCAGTAATTATTCCAAGCAGTGGAATGCCCTGGGTGTTTATCAGGCTGCATAGTTTTCATTGCACTGAGAGAGATCCTCAGCAAATACGCTGACAGTCAAAAGGGTGGTCTTTGAATGCCAGTAACTATGCAGAGACAAAGAATGACCGTGCGCTCATTCCTCCAGGAAAACTGATGCATCCTTTCCCCCCCCCCTTTCTTTGTGTCCTCTTTCCCCACCCCCATTATAGGAACTGAAAGGTGGGAAAACCTATTCCAAGGTAAGAGGAGCTGCAAGAAGTGAAAAGCAAAGTTGTCTGTGTTCCATATCGTGATGTGAGCATTTACAAAGCACTTTCAGGTGTTCAGAATGTTCCACGAATCCTTAGAACAGCTCTGCAAGGTAGACCAGTGCTGTTATTCTCATATTGCTGATGGGGATGCTGAGGCAGCAAGAGGGCAGGTAGCCGAAAGCCGCCAAATAAATTAACACTCTTGCCCAGTGTCCCACCCTCAGGAAATCTCTGGGAACAGAGCTACACTCCCGTTACAGAATAAGACACAATATCCTCTTTCCTGGGAAGATGTTCAGACTGCTTTACCTCCCATGTGTTGTCCTGGCGGAACTGTGTTCCTTGCTCGGAGGAGTACCTTTCCCCTGGAATTTCTAAACTTGAGTATTACTCAAAAAAACTTGGAATGTGTCAAATGTTTCTGGGGAATTCTGATCTTTAGTACTTCCTCTGTATTGTAAGACTGCCCTGTAAGAGATCTCTTGCTTCCAGATAATAGTTCTATTTTTACTTTCTTTCTTCTCTTTCTCTTCCGCTCCCCAAGGCAGTAGCAAATTTAGACTGGCAGCCATCCAGGATCATGCAGAGAACTATACCAACCTGCCTCATAACAATTCAGGCCATCCACCGGTCTAGCTCAGTACTGTCCACCCTGCCCAGCTATTTTCTCCAAGGCTTCAAGCCAAGATCTTTCCCAGATCAGGGACCTGCTATGTGCAAAGCATATACTGTACCATTTGAGCTGTACATGTCCCAAGCAAGCACTGACTCTGGGAGGGAAAGACTCCATCAGCAGCAGGTGGCTGAAACATGATTGTATTTATTACGATACCTACTATTCTAGTCCTCAAGGTGGCTTTACAGTAAAGGGAGGTCAAAACTCACAATCAGATAACATCCCAAAAACTACACCCGCAAAGCTACAAACAAATGCAGTATAAAAGCCGAAGTCCCCAGTGAATCAGTGCAACACCGCAGGGGTCATTTCAGAGAAAAAGAGGTGCAGGAGCTCATTAGCGTAACTCATTAGCATAACCTATTTGCATATGCCACACCCCCTGGCATCACCGGAAGTGTGTCAGAAGGCAACAGCCACCGCTCAGGCTACGCTGGACGGTTTAGGATTGGTAACTATTGGGGGGGGGGACGTGCAGATCTGTCCTCGCCGAGGAGGGAGAGCTTGTACCTGAATAAAACTTGGTCTTAAAGGTGCCACTGGACTGTTTTGGACCAGGGGGCCGGGGTGGGGGGCTCTGCAACTTACCTGGCTGCTTCTTGCTCTGACTGAGGGCTGCTGGGAGCAGGGCTTGTTGCATGTGCCCGCCCCCTGGGCTCTTTACTGCCGGAGCTCCGCTCCTGTGCGCTCCTGCAGGAAATGACCCCTGCAGCATCGTATGCAACGTAGTCAGTCCAGAGCAGAAAAGTTTTTAACCCGCCTCCTACATGCTGCCAGTGAGGAGCTGTACAAATAGTGCTCTCTCGAGTATGTTCCATAGCCTATGTGCCACTCCTGAATAGGCCCTGTCGTATATTGCGTTGCACTAGATCTCCAACCGGGGTGGGGGTGGGGTCTTAAGTGTAGGGTTCGTTTCATAGAGGAGGTGGCTCTCCTTGTTAATTTTTGACTAACCATGCTTTGAAGGGCTTTGCCCAAAGCCATGCCATGATACCATCCTTCCTTCTGTGTCAGCCCGCTTCTGTCCGTATTTTCTGCCCTCCGACAGTGGCCTCCTGTTCTTCCGGATGCCTTCCTTAAGGTCCGCTTCTTAAGCACGTTCTATCCTGAGCCACACCTGCACCCCCATGGTCCCACGATGCTTGCTTACGTTATCCTGTCAAATGAAGTGGTGTTTCCCGGCCCCTCTTTCCTTCCCGTGCCCTTCTAATCCTTCTAACCTGGACTGTAGTGTGCTTCTGCGCCGCTGCTGGTGCCAAGTAAGCACTGTGCTTCAGATGAGGGCGCCAGAAAAGGCAATGGGGAAGCAATGTCTTGTACGCGTTCTCCTTAGGTGTTTGTGGAATTTCCAAAAAATAAATAAATGTTGAGGAGGAACAGAGAGATCACTCAAGATAGCACTGGAGTGCCCTGCCCTGGACGGCCCAGGCAAGGCCATTCTCATCAGATCTCGGCAGCTTAGCAGGGTCGACTCTGGCAGGTACTTGGATGGGAGACCTCCTTGGAATACCAGAAGTTGGGAGGCGGGGGCAGGCTTTATTCAGCCACCTCTCTGAATATCCTCCAGGCCCCCAGTAGGGGTCAGTCACCAGAGGTCGTCATGACTTCCAGGTGTGTGCGCACACACTCACACACTCACACATGCAGAGATTTAAAAAATACAAAAAAGAAAGCTGGCACGGTACTTTTGGGATTTCTCATCGTCCCATAGTTGTCCTCCAGAATGTGCAAGTGGCCGCCTTTGTAGATGCTCTGCAGCAGAGATCTCCAACCAGTTGTCCTTGGCCAGTCTTTCGGTCTTCCTGCTTTCCACTTTGTGTTGCACGGGCAGCTCAGTGTCCCAGACAGAAGCCACAGATCTCTGCTCTTCGTTAATACTTCTTTAGCAGAGAGAGAGAGAGAGAGTGCACAGAAGAGCTCGTAGGTGGAAATGGGCCTGCAGGATATCTTGATGGAGAGGAAATTCTCGTGTCTGAGCCGGATGGCGGTGCTGGCTGCTGGGTGGGAAAATGAAGGAAGTGGTACTGAGAGGTCATATCTGAGAACATCCTTTTGTTACAAGGGCTGACCTTCCTCCTGCAGCTCCAGGCTGCCTTCGGTCATCCCCTCGCCCTTGGGAATCAGTTTCCTGGAAAAGTTCAGACCTCAGCACGTCGTGCAAAGTTGTGTGGTGGCAGAGGCTGCAGCCTGTTCTCTGAACAAGCTTACTCGGTCCTGTCCAGGCGCTGCCATTTCCCCACCAGTTAGAGAGCCAGTTTGATGTAGTGGTTAAGTGCACGGACTCTAATCTGGGAGAACCGGGTTTGATTCCCCGCTCCTCCACTTGCACCTGGCTGGATGACCTTGGGCAAGCCATAGTTCTGATAAGAGCTGTCCTTGAAAAAGAGCAGTTTCTGTCGGAGCTCTCTCAGCCCCACCTACCTCACAGGGTGTCTGTTGTGGGGAGGGGAAGGGAAAGGAGATTGTAAGCCGCTCTGTGACACCTTTGGGTAGTGAAGGGCGGGGTATAAATCCAGTCTCTTCTCTTCTTCTTCTACCACATGCGGAGGCAGTTGGAGGCCTGAGGCCTGTCCCTTGACAAGGAAAACATCTTCTCCAGAGGCATGCTATTTTTCCTGTTGCGTTTCAGCCTGAAAAATAGCATCTCTTCAGCGTTAGTGGAAGTCACTAGTGCCGCCACAAGTCAAGAAGCGATTTAAACAAAAAGATAAGGAGGAGAGGAAAGTAGGTCATCCTCTCCGAGTCAAATGTCAGAAGGAATCCTCTTCTCTTTTTTTCCCTTTCCTCTTCAGGGTTCCAAGCTGTTGACTAATGCAAAGGAGTGGAATGCGTTTGAAAGCAGAAAGATGTCACCTGTATTGAAACTAGGGTGACTTTTAAATAGGAAGTAGAAGAGTAAATGGGCAGGTGTTGCGTTTAGGGGAAAAAATGGAAATACATTAGAGGAGATTTGAGGTAGACCTTGGAATGTGTTGTCCTGTTCTGTGTGTGCACTTTCTGGAGGCCACTTGAGGGCCAGTTAGGTGAAGTTGTTAGGAGCGTGGACTCTAATCTGGGAGAATCGGGTTTGATTCTGCACTCCTCCACATGCAGCTGCTGGTGTGACCTTGGGTCAGTTACAAGTTCTCTCAGAGCTGTTCTCTCAGAAGCAGTCCTTGAAAGAGCTCTCTCAGCCCCACCTACCTCACACAGAGTGTCTGTTGTGGGGAAAGGAAGGGTAAGGAGATTGTAAGCCACACTGAGACTCCTTCCGGTAATGAAGGGTGGGGTATAAATCCAGTCTCTCTCTCATTTCTTCTTCATTAATGTTATACTAAATCTCTTAATCTTTAAGGGATCACAAGACGCTTACTCAGTTTTATCCTCTCAACAGTCCTATGAGGTGGGTTGGACTGGAAGGGTGTGGCTGGGCCCCAGGTCACTCAGTTAATTTCCTGGCTGAATAGAGATTTAAGCATCTTCTCCCAGAGAATCACGGGATTTCATAGCTGGTGAAGGTGCTGAGAATTCTATGTGAAAGATCTCTGGGGTCAGCTCCAGAGTTCCCAGGGTTTCTTGGGGTTTAAGAATAACTAGCTTAAGTCTGTAGTAAGGGTGTGCAAAAAAAAAAAATTCGGCCTGATTTGGATTCCGCTGAATTGGGGAGAATCAAGTTTGCGCAGAAAGACTCCCGCATTTCAATTTCGGCAGTACAGGAATCTTTCGCCAGCCGAATGTCAATTTCAACCCCATTATATCCTATGGGCCATTGAAGTCAATGGCAAAAACATAGGGTATATTCTGGGGTCTGGAGGGGAGGGGGTTTGAGGGAGAGACTCCAAACTTTCATGGTTACTTTTTTCCCACCATAGAGAACAATGGAGAGAATGGAGGCAACCTGTTTGGTGGCCTGTAGAATTGGACCCCCTGGTCCAATGTTCTTAAAACATGGTGGGTATCTTGGGGAGAGACTTCAGAAGCTACCCTGCGAGTTTGGAGCCTCTCCCTCTAACCCCATCCCCTTCAGCCCCCAGAATATACCCTATGTTTTCGCCGTTGACTTCAATGGCCCATAGGATATAATGGGGCTGAATTGCCGACGAAATTCGGCGGCAAGCCGATTCAGATCATAGAATCTGAATCAGCCCGTAGCAGCCCGAAAGAGGCCCAAATGGGCTATTTTCGGGGGTGCATTCGGTTCAGACGAACCGAATGCACATCCCTAGTCTGTAGCATGTGCACATGGTAAAGCGTCCGGGGCAATCCCTGATTCATAATTCACACCCAACATGAATTCACTGAGATAGCTGCAGATGCTGCTAATTCCAGAGTAGCAGCAGTGTTAGTTTTTTAAGGCATCACTGGAATCCAGTTTTATTTTGCTGCTATAGACTAACAAAATTTACTGCAGCATAGGTGGACTCTGAATCACATAAATTTGTGCTGGAATAATTTTTGTTAGTCTTTTGAGTTGCCACTGGACTCCCTTTTTATTTTGCAGGTAAGCCCTTGCTCTTCCCTGCCTTATCAGTCACCTGCCGTCAAGCTGCAATATGGGGATAATAATAATGCTGATCTACCTCGTATTGACCTAGCCTTTCTGGAAAATGGTCCAAGCTAACATACCAGCTCTTTATGAGGATGGCTAATGTACACAAAGTGCTTTGAACTCCTAAGAAAAGTGCTGTATAAATGCTAAGTAGTGTTGTGATTGGGTGTTGCCTGGAAGTGACCTGCGTCCACATGGTCATAGAGCAGATGTGGGTGCATCATCGGACTCAAGTAGGGCTTGCAGCGCCGCACCTCTTGTATATCCTCACCTGAGCCCAAAGATTGCTGCACTGTTGGCACATGGTCAGTGTTTGTGATTATTTGATCTCTGTGCTGTGAGTGTGTGTCCATATGTATGTGAATGTGACTAGCAATGCATCCTTTGGTGTAGTGGTTAAATGTGCGGACTCTAATCTGGGAGAACCAGGTTTGATTCCCCACTTCTCCACATGCAGATGCTGGTGTGACCTTGGGTCAGTCATAAGTTCTCTCAGAGCTGTTCTCTCAAGGGCAGTCCTTGAAAGAGCTCTCTCAGCCCCACCCACCTCACAGGGTGTCTGTTGTGGGGAGGGGAAGGGAAAGGAGTTTGTAAATGTGTGGACTCTAATCTGGGAGAACCAGTTTTGATTCCCCACTCCTCCACATGCAGATGCTGGTGTGACCTTGGGTCAGTCACAAGTTCTCTCAGAGCTGTTCTCTCAAGGGCAGTCCTTGAAAGAGCTCTCTCAGCCCCACCCACCTTACAGGGTGTCTGTTGTAGGGAGCGGAAAGGAAAGGAGTTTGTAAGCCGCTCTGAGACTCCGAGTGAAGGGCAAGGTATAAATCCAGTCTCTTCTTCTTCTCTTCCTTTATAAAGAAAACTCCAGGAAAATAATTTTCTAACATGATGAGTTAGATTAGAGGTGCTGTTCAGCCAGCATCTTTTGCCCCTTCAAGGGACTGAGATAGGGAAGGGGCTGTGGCTCACTGGCAGAGCATCTGCTTGGCATGCAGAAGGCCCCGGGTTCAGTCCCCAGTGAAAAGGATCAGGTGTGAGGTGATGTGAAAGACCTCAGCCCGAGACCCTGGATAGCCGCTGCCAGTCTGAGTAGACAAGACTGACTTTGATGGGCCAAGGGTCTGATTCAGGATCAGGCAGCTTCATGTGTGTGAAAAGCCATCCTCAGGGACTCTTATTCAAGCTCCCTGCCTGCCTCTGTGAACCGAAACTAGTTTTGCCCTCTTGTGGCTCAAAATGGCCAAGCAGAGAGGCTCTGTTGATCTCAAGAAAATACTTCACCCTGGACACGATCTGTCCATTGTCCTGCCTTCAAGAGGAGGAAGATAGAGCAGCGACTGGTAACCCTAACCCAAACTTCCTCATGAGTTCCCGTGTTCAGAAACCTAATAATTACAAAAAAAAGTCCCACAGTTCTAACCAAGCACTTCCAGCGGGCAGCTGATTAAAATCGCAGTTATTCAGCGCTCCTGGTATCCAAGAGGAAAGTGGGACTTTTAACTCTCGGCCGTATCTCCCAAAGCTTTCCCTTGCCTTTGTTTGGGTGCATCACTATATGACGAAATCCGAACTGGAGGTCCTGTAGACCCTCTGTTAGAATGGGGACACATCCCCAAGCCTTGCTGTAGCCCTCTAAGAAAGCTTCTAACTTTTAACTCTTGAATTAGAAGGGTGCGGGGGGGGGAGACTCTAAAATGTGTCCTCCCCACAATCTCTCCATCTTGCTTATTGGGAACAGTGTGCTGATTTTAATCTACAACAATATCCTTTCATCTCTCAGTGTGCGTGCTGCACTGCATTCTGGGACGGCCAATACAAAGAGTGCCTTTATTATGTTTGTATGTGCGCATAGGAGTGTGTTTTTCCACATCATTGACCTAGTGTCTTCTGTGTCCTTGGTTATGCAATGGCTGCAGGCGGGTTAACGCTGTCCTTGCCGGAGCAGCAGTCCCGTTTCCTTCACCTTATACCTAAACATTTCCTGGCTATCTGTAATGATTCAGCTCTCTTTGAGGTTAAGAATGTGTTCCATCCTGGGGTGCAGGTGCTGCCAGGATTTGTGTCTGCCTCCACTTGGTGCTCTCCTTTCCTGTGTAGTTCACCCTGTGACAACGCAAAATATTGAGCGCTTTTTAAAAATGTGTTGGCTTTACAGCTCGGTTTTGCCGACCTAAATTTGGCGGAATTTGCTGGCTCTGGGTTCACCGTCCGATGCTGCTTGCTGGAGGGGTACGATACCAAGAACACTCGGCAGGATAATTCCATCTTGAAGGTAAATACAGAAAGAACCAACTGACCTGTGCTGCACACCTAGATGTATTTCCAAAGGATATTTCCCCCTCCCTGATTCTTGGTTATAATAGCGGAGATTCAAACAGAGAATTGCACCCATTTGTTTCCAAACAAGATGTAAGGAATTGCAAGTCTCCGTGCCCACTGGGAAAAAAAGTCAGTCTACTTAATGCCTTGTTGTTCTCGCTTGTGGGGGCGGTCATTTTCATCTAGCATTTATGCATCCGTGTGTCTACCTGTCTGCCAGTTTGGCCTTCACTTGGGACACCATTGCATTCTTTAGCTAGATACCTGCCTAAGCTGTGGTTGTATGCCCAGCAGCTAAAAGAATGCGCCTCAGTACTTAATTACTGAGGACCTTTGTTGCCCAACTATCCAATTTCAGAAAGGAGTGCTAAATCCGGGAAAATAACTTTCTAACACGATGAGTTAACATAAGAACATAAGAGAACATACAAGAACCCAATGCTGGATCAGGCCAATGGCCCATCCAGTCCAACACTCTGTCACACAGTGGCCAAAAATACCAGGTGCCATCAAAAGGAGAAGAGAAGAAGAGATTGGATTTATACCCCGCCCTTCACTACCCAAAGGAGT